ACTAGAATCCACACTGAATCCTACCTCAGCATGACACCCAACCGAGTATGATATACAACTATTTTTGGTCAGCGTGGAGAGAAACAGTCAAGTTGTGATGACCCGACCAAACATGGACTGAAACACACGACTGATTTATGAGTTTTGCTCATAGACTGAATGCCTTGCCGAGTTTCCCGCTTGCTACTTAGTCTGTGTGTGTGCACGCTTGTTGGACTGCATGTTTGTCTGAGTGCTGGTTGGCTTGAGTGTGTGTGTGGCCCGTAAGGGGCACTTGTTCGTTCGTTGGGCCCTCAGGGCCGGTACTTACTGTGGCCGTTGCATTGAGGATTGCAGCGGGGGAAAACACTTAAGTGGCAGGGAAAGAGGCCCACAGCAGCAGCAGGGAAACACTCAAGTAGCAGGTAGGCCGGTACCACACCCTGAAGCGGTAGATGTGCCGGGTACTGGAGGCCGAGGAGAAGAAGACAAAAGTGGCATTTTTAGAGGCCCAGTAGTTGTTGGCTAGGTCTAGGCGGGTGCCAGTCTGAGTCTAGGGCCTGTACCGACAATATTAGAGTCTGCAATGATATTTCCCTCCAAAAGGGAGGAGGTACCGGTTGCTTGGGGGCCGAGCGGCCTGGAAGTCACCGCCCAAGAGGCAAGCAGGCCGCTATATCTCCAGGCCGGGCAAAGAGCCCAGCCTCATTGTCGGTGTGCAAGTTTGGCGACACACTGGTTGGAGCGCTGGCTGGAGCAGCGTTAGCTTGGAGCAGCGCTGCTGGGGAAGAAGCAAGGACTCAGAGGAGGAAGAAGGACAGGAAGGGGGAGGAGCGCCAGAGGTACTTACCTGGCTATGGTGGCAACCATCTTCATCACCTTGGTGGGCGCTGCAGCAGGAAGGCCCCAGCGGGGGTAGAGCTACACCAAGAAACTTCGAGGCAGAGTCAGCCATGGTGGCCTGAGCTTGAGCAGCCATAGCTGCTTTGGGTTGTCCTTTGGGCATCAGAGCAAGGCCCAAGTAGTCCACCATAGCCTCGGCCTCGGACAAGGAAGAAGAAGGGTGGCCATGGCTATGGTGGACCTCATGTGAAACCTGCAGTAGAAGAGGGATTCGGACATTGATTCAACGTTGTACCATTATTTCTTGTGTGAATAAGAGAGGAAGAGATAAGGAGGAAGAGAGAGTTTGGCGAAGAAGAGGAGCCTTATCATTTGTCTATGCTGGTGTACATCATCTTCTTCTTCTTTCTTACTTCTTCTTCTTCTTCTTCTTCTAACCCTCTCTCTCCTCTCAAGTTCATTCATTTCTTTCTGCAATTGGACAACATTGTTCTATCTGATGAATGTGTATCTCGAAATTGGCCAGGATCATAACAAAGTGGTCAATGATAACTAATGTCAGATCCTACAGGTAACACTACTTCTATTTTTAGATTACTCTAATACAGAATGCAATGCAGCAAGGAAGATACTATCCTATCTGCAGCTGTCTGTCAGTTGTCAACAAGTCCGTACAACTAAATAATCAAAAATAAAACAGTTTACCTGTGGAGATGTATGCTGGATGGCAGTCTATCTAATCAGTACAACAGCGAACAGTTGCTGGAATCCCTCCTCTCCCTGTATCCTTCTTGAGTGGTCTCTTTGTGTCAACGCCCTGAGCATCTGGTTGAGCGGCGTGTCTGAAGGTGTGCAATCCGGCCCACCCCTGTGCCCCAAGTCTATGCCGAACCTGCCAGCCCCTGCATGTTGTTTACCCTCACATGCCATGAGCCTTACTTCCGGTTTGCTCTGGCTGATCAAGAGGCAGTTTAAGGACAGCCCCCAAGGTCCTCACAAATTATTTAACGTCGCAGACAAGACGACGATCACAGCCAGGGTTCAACACCGGAACCCGCCAGAAATATTTATAGATGGTCTGGTGAGCGTCCCTCAAAGGGCTGGCATGCCCTGCATGACCTCTATTGCGCAGCAGCAGAACCAAGGACTTGCGGCAAAGCATGCGTGTACTAGTCCCGACGGGTTGCGATGGTGACCGTGACCCGAGTGCTTCGTCCAGGGCCCTTCAGAGGCTTCACCTGTCTCCCACCAGCTTGCTGCCCAGAAAGAATGCCGACTCTCAAGGTTGAGCGCTCGCAACACCTCACATTGAGAGGACTCTCAAGACAGAACTCACTTCCTCGTGGTAAGAAGTAATGAAGAGGGTAGATAAGGAAGAGAGCAACGTACCTCATAATGCTGCCCCAAACCACAGATTTCTCACCGGCAACCTGATGTGCATTTATGATGACTGGTCTTTGCCTCGGCACAACAAACAGCAGAATGCAGTTCCACCTCGGCTTAAATGCCACATCAGCGAGCTCTCATCAACCAGCGTACACCCCTAATGTCACCACATAGCTTCCTGGGCAACCAGCGTACACCCCTAATGTCACCACATAGCTTCCTGGCGCGCCCACACGACCCTGGGCCGCCAATCGTTCAATGCCCAAGCCTTATTACTGCCCCACACCGCATGCGAAGCACCAAACAGCTATTGCGAAGAACCAATGAAGCGCAGTTCGGACCAGCTCCGATACCAAATTGCAAGGAAAACGAGCAATAGTGAGATGACAATATCCAGAATGCACAGTCACATTGAAAGCCAGAAAGTATAACAGTGTCCAGAACATTGCACCAATATGACACCAATGGAGAATCGTAACACTGAAAGCCAATGTCAATGAGAGCTTGCTCTCGCCACCACCAACACAAGAGTCCAGGACCTTCTCCCTACTTGGCGCGCGGCGCCCAGCCTACTTCCTACACAGCTACTATCTGCCTACTAATTGACAATGCAACTGTTGATGTCAGCAGCCAACAAAGTACTTGAAGAGGTCGCCCAGATGCAGACCATCGCCAATACCAGGTATGTTCCCTCACATCATCATCATCATCATCCTTCTCTCTTTCCCTCCTCTGACACCCACGTCTTCCCTCTGTACACCCGAAGACCACCGCTGCGCCTCACTGTATGTCCAAGCCCTCAGCCAGCTATGGAGGCTGGGATATGGCGCTGCCCTCAGCAGCGCCCCGCTTCACCACACGACCGCACGTGCACAGCACCTTGCTCCAGCAACTACCATGCGAGCGATTGCTCCAACAGCGCTGCCGCCATCCAGCAAGTGCCTGAATGAGAGCCCGGGCTGCGAGCTCTTTCCTATATGGAAAGAGCCTGCCTGCCCCGACGGCCTGGCTGGCCTGGGCCTCTGCCCAGAAGCTTCCGGTAGGCCCCCGGAGGATGTGCCTCTGTTGCAGCTCCTGGGCCTCATCCGGTTGGGCCTCCCAACTGTCTGTGTACGAGGCTGCGATTCTTGCCCAGGGCCTGCATTTCAGGAAAGGCCTGGAAGGCCGTGGAATGTCTTTGCTGCTCGGCCTGTGTTTCCCTCAACCGACTGGCACGTCACAACTGCCTGGACCCCAAATACGAAATTGGCAGCAGAGGCCCTCTCGAGATTTGTTAGGCCCGCCTTCACTTAGGGCGGGCACTTCTGTAACAGGGCCCCTTAGGCCTGCCGAGGACCAGATCCTCGCAACTGCATGTGACCCCAAATGCAGCTACGATGACCGTACGTTCGATTCGGGGGAAGACGGTAGCTATTTGGGGAATGGTCGATAGTGGGAGTTGTCATATGATGATGGGATTGATGGTCTTTCCCCCCACAAGCCCGCTTGGGAGACGGGGGGCGTAAAGACTTAATAAGGTGCAAGACAGGTGGTTCGTCCGGTGCACGTGAGAGACAAGGAGAGGTGAGATGAGATGAAAGTGAGGAGTGTTGAGACGGGGTGAACCGTGAAAGTAATTGAGAGTTTCAGATCTGCCAAGATTTGCTTTTATGATTAATCAATCAACACAATGATGAATTCACAAATGAAAAAAAAAAAAAGATTGTGTTGTGTGAGATAGCACAGTGTGTTTGTGTGTGTGCGTGTGTAAGTGTTTGTGTGTGCGAGTATGTGTTCCAATAGTAATAAATCAATCTTTTTTCAGTTTAGGTCCTTTAGGAAAATTTTTGTCAAAAATTGAAATGAGAATATTAGCTAATTTGGAAACTGAATTAGGTCAGGTTATATCTCTATGCCATAAAAGAATCATCTTAAGAATGGGCAAACCTTATTTAGCAACTCGTGGAGCTATTGTATATCCTAGAAATGGAGAAACGATTAGCGAAGGAGACACCCTTTGTGTGTGTGTGTGTGTGTGTGTGTGTGTGTGTGTGTGTGTGTGTGTGTGAGAGAGGGGGTGTGGGGGAGCGAGGCCTGTCTCTTATACACATCTAGATGTGTATAAGAGACAGGAGAGAGAGAGAGAGAGAGGAGAGAGAGATTCTTGTGCCCTTGATGCACACCTGAGATCGTCATGTAAATGAGATTCTCTGCTGAAGTGGTCCAGTGGGGGACTTCAGCTGTGAGTCTACGTGAGTCTCTCTCTGTGAGGAGCCTGCTTCAAGGCTGCTGAGAGACACCAGGCTCCTCACAGACATCTTTTCCTTCCTTTTTTTTTTTGGACCATTTCTCGATTTATGAGCGTCATCGCTTGTGCAGGTGCCATGATAATCCTCTGTAGCGTTCCAATTTTGACGGATGTCCCGAGGACACCTCACAGACATCGTCGATCTGTCCATTCTCTACCAGCATGATTATTTGACAATACTTCCAGTGGATCCAGTCTGATACACAAGAACCCCCCAAAAAAGGCTTGCTGATTGAGGCATGGCTACCCACATCTCCCAGACATCTGACTAAGGGATCTCCTCTCTGTATTTTTTGCTCTTTACTCTGTGTCTACACTCTGGTTTACGCTCTGGTTTACACTCTGTTTTTTGGTCTGTTTTTTGGTCTGTTTTTTGGTCTGTTTTTTGGTCTGTTTTTTGGTCTGTTTTTTGGTCTGGTTTACACTCTGTTTTTTGCTCTGGTTTACACTCTGGTTTACACTCTGGTTTACACTCTGGTTTGCTCTTTTGTCTGTCACTCCACAGGCTCTTGGATGGCTCCTGTCAGTGCCAGGTGCATCGCACTGTTTGCTGGAGGCAGTGGTTCCCTATTCTCAAAGATCAATGGCTCAACTTTTGGGAAAGGTAGGTACTCTACTACTCTCTGATTGTCCTTAACTTGCTGCGCGTTGATTACCATCTTGGCCCCCCTGCCCCCCCCTGGAACGTAACGCAACCTCCTGATTCTGAATGTATACAAGCTATCTTTCTGGTTATGTGCAGGCAAATGAGGGTGTGTAAAAAAAGGAAAAGAAAAAAAAAACTTGAAAGAGAACAAAAAGGTGCATCGTGTTCCGGGGGGAGGATGGTAGTTTCACAGTGCAAAGGAATCTTGATTTATGGCTGCATCATCGGCGCTGTGCCGTTAGGCTGGGGCTGCTTGGGGCATGCAGGCAGGAACATTTCTTGAGGGGTGCTTTTGTGTGTAAGCTACTAACCTGTCCTTCTCCATTTTTTCCCTTAACCATTTACCGAGATGATCCAGGCTGCACCTTAAAGTTTACCAATGGGGGCAGGGTTGCATACCTGCTGACCGCCGACACCGACCGCCGACTGTTTTGCAGCCTACCAGTAGGGCTGACCACTCCGTGGTGTGCCGACACAGGCTGTAGAGGACGGTATTCCACTGATTTTTTTTCAAATCTGACTTCGGGGCTGTACTGCTCTTGCTGAGTACAGCCGAAATCCGCTGACAAACGTTTGGGGATGGGGGGTGAGTACGGGGACGGTTAGGGGTGGGTGGGTGGGTGGGGGGGGTATGAGGGTGTTGGGGGGAAGTATGGTTTGGTGGTGGTGGGCGGGGGGGGATGGGGGTGTTGGTAGGGTTATTGGGGGTTATGGACCCTGCTTTTTTTTTTTTTGTGGAATGCTGACCGACCGCTGACTGGTAGGTGCCGACGGGTGGAACGGTCTGCTGGTCGGCAGCCGACCAATCGAGGGGCGCCGACCGTCAGCATGACTACCTGAATGGGAGGTTTTTTTTTTTCCACTTGTCTTTCCGTGAACAGAATGCACACTCAGGACGGACTTGTTGCTTGTGTGTACATTCACCATTAACTTCACTGTAGACCGAATAGCTCGCAAGCCTTTTTCACTCCTTTACGACATGCTGCGGTGCCCAGGCTGCGGTGAAATAAGCTTGGGTCAATTCAACCGCTAGTTTCCTCTTTTTTTTTCTTTTTTTTTTTTCAAGTCCAGGTTGTTGTAGAGGTTGGCTGACAGAAGTGTCGCAGTCGCCTTCGGTAATCAGCCATGGGTTACCCACATGGTCTGTAAAGGTCCCCATTCCTTATGAGGCTCCCTCCCAACCTTCCACTCTCCTACTGGGATTGGACTGCATCTTCAACCGAGAGAGAGAGAGAGAGAGAGAGAGAGAGAGAGAGAGAGAGAGAGAGAGAGAGAGAGAGAGAGAGAGAGAGAGAGAGAGAATCTGTGCCGAAGCACAGTAGACAGCTTGCTTGTATGATGGTGGTGGGGTAGAGCACCGCAGAGAAGGACCGGCTGTTAGTAGGGGGTTTATCATTGTAGCCCAGTGATCGATCCGCAGTCAGACCGAATTCCCAGCCAAACGGAATCGAACCGGTGGCCTCGGCTGTACCAGCTGGATGCCTTTACCACTGCAATGGCGACCCGGGGCCAAGTCCCACTTACCCGAATAATCGACTTCTGACCGCAGATTTGGAATATCAACGACCATTTGGAAGATCAACGACCTGAAATCAAGGATCAGCGTAAGTGGGACTTGGCCCCCAGTGTTCAAAACTGAAGCCATAAAGGTCGTGACATTCCAAATCTGGTTATGTGTTTTGGTTTGATTTTTTTTTTCTTTTTTTCCCCGAATTTATAAGGAATTCTGAAGTGACCCTCAGCCAAAATTTGGTTACATTGCGATTCTAGACAACATATTCTTTTTCCGGATTTTTTAATTTTTTTTTGTTTTTTTTTTTTGAATGTGCCGTGGGCAGAGTGCCTTGTAGAGGAAGTATGCATGGATTTTAAATGGGGGGAAGGGGGGTACACATGAGTTTTAAAGGGGGTTGAAACGGTTTTGACTTCCAAGGGGTTATGTGTTTTGTTTTGATTTTTTTTTCGTTTTTTAATATTTATTAAATTTCCGAATTTGTAAGGAATTCTGAAGTGACCCTCAGCCAAAAGTTCGTTACATTGCAATTCTAGACAACATGTCCTTTTTAGTAAGTTTTACAGTTTTTTTTTTTTTTTTTTTTTTTTTTTTTGGTCCCCACTGGAGTTGCCACACCATTATTTTCAGGTGAAGACGGTCGCTCAGTTTTACTTTTACAAATTTACACCCATGAATTATTGAAAAGCAGACCGAAGTTCGAGTCCATGACTGTGAATTGACCACTGGCGAGTCAGTTTGACGATGACATCTCAAAGTTTGTTGCCCTTTTTATTATTTACAATTTTACACAAAAAAAAAGAAAAAAAAAGTAGTTTTAATTTTTTTTTTTTTAATGAAGTACAGCAGAATAGGAATTCATCAAGGGCCAGGCCCCACTGGTGGTATGTTTGTGCTATGCTAGCATGAATCTGGACAACTTGTATGACCCTGTTCAGGCTTTCCAAGCACAGACATAGCAGCAGTGGGGCCTGCCCCTCACATGCAGAAGCACAGCAGGATTCTATGTCTTGCTTCGACTTCTCCAGAGTCCTCCTCCCTCTTTCTCTGTGCACCTGCTTCTCTTCCTCCCGGGCGATTTCCCTCACTGCTCATTACCCTCTCTGCTGCTCTTGCTCTCTACCCCCTTCTGCTGTTCCTGCCTCTTTCACCGGCCCTCCTCTTCTTTTAAGTGCATCCAATGATATATCCATCCTGTTCCATCAGGCTTTGAACCCATGATCTGTCTATTGTTACATGAGGGTACCCTTGGGCCACATCAGCCAGGGCACTGTTGTTCCTGCCTCCTGCTTTTCCTACCTGCTTCTCTCCCTCGAATTGCCCTGCTTCATGGAAGCCCCGGGGGAGAGGGGGGGGGTCATCTCTCTCTGGGTCCCTTTGCATGTGTGTGTTTTGCTGTTTTTGTATATTGACTCTGTCTGTAGATGCATAGTTTAGCTTGGAAAGCATGAACATGGTCGTGAAAGTGGCCAGGTTCATGCTAGATGGTCGTTAAAGTGGCCAGGTTCATGTTAGATGGTCGTTAAAGTGGCCAGGTTCATGCTAGACATGGAACACCGACTAGCTATGCTAGACATGTAACACGGACTACCTTCGTCCCTCGAATACAACGTAGTACGGTCATTATAGCTGTATTTAGACTGAAAGGTACCCCAAAAAACATCTATAGTGACCGTACGTTGTATTCGGGGGAAGAAGGCAGCTATATTCCATACAGTCTATACTTAGTGAGCCTGACCACTTTTACGACCGCATTCATGCTTTCGGTTGTTCCAAGCTATATATAATATGTATAGAGTACAGCTGGTAGGTAGTGACTTGTGAATCAGTCTGCAAGCATGCATAGACTTAACTACCTACTATTTAGATGTCTGCCCACTCGCCACAGCTAAGCATTGGTCTTGCTATGTGTAACAGTAGAAAGTACAAGAAACTTTTTTTTTTTTTTTTGAGGATATTTTTTTTTTGTGAATTTTTTTTTTTTTT